TATTTTGATTTTTTTGCACCGTCAGATTCCAGATTTTCAAATAGTTGTATCTCGGCCATTGATTGTCCTATCCTAACAAACCATACATCAATGGAAAGATTATTTATTCAGCTTTCAGATAATGTATAAATCTCAATTTCGAAATATTGACCCTTGTGACTGGTTTTGTGGTAAAGGGTCACATATATAATTATATATATATATATTATTATAAAGTGTTACCATTATATTAAATGTAAAATTAAAATAAAAGGGGCACCACGATAATTGTGATATAGCTTATTGCAATTATCTAGTCAAAGACTGCAGTTTAATTAAATAACTGTATGCTTCTGAGTCAAGCATAGCGCATTTTGTTATTAGAATGATCAAATATGAATTTATTTTACAGCACAATTGTAATTTACAACAGTAATATATTTCTGTCTTTATTTTTATAAAATACTACTACTAATAATAATAATATGTTTATAGTTTATAATTTTTGCCCACATTATTGAAGTGCTGACTGGTCTTCATAATGTATGGTGTCCTTTCGTTTTTGTCCGTTTTCATCCAGCCTTGACCAAGAAACTCCCTGGAAAGTAAAACATCTCTATTAAACATCATGCAGTGCTACTAAATAGTAAATCACCAACCATTTAAGAATAAAGCACTCTAAAGTAAAGTGATACACTCACTCGTATGGAATATTCCAGAACACAATATGGTCCAGTAGAGTGATTTGTTCTGCTAGTTCCATCGCCGACAGCGACTCAAAGCATTTGACTCTTGGACAGTCGGACTGGAGAACACACAAAATTACACTGAATGAATAAATGACATCTATACGCACAAATCAGAGAGACTTCAGTGCTGCAGTCACACTAACCATGCGCACAATGTCCTCAATCTTCAGCTGTGAATCATCTTGTTCTTCTTGAGAAAGTGCACTGAGGAAAGATGAAAATTACTAAAAGAGTAGTTCGACTAAAAATTAACATTTAAAAAATATAATTATTTACTCATCACATATGATGTATTTTTTTTCCCCATTAAATGCGCATGTTACTATTTAAATCCATTTCACAAAATTGCATAGATTTCCCCCCAAATCTGGGTGTAAAAATTTTTATAATATTACTAAAGATTCCATTTCAAATAAATGCTGTTCTTTTGAACTTTCTATTCTTGAAATAATCCTGAAATTAGTTTCCACAAAAATGTGACCCTGGACCACAAAACCAGTCATAAGGGTCAACTGACACAAGGCATAATATATGGAGCCAGATCGGCCTCAAAAATAATACATTTATAAAACAAAATTCATAAATGCACAGAACAATTTACATTTACAAAATGCGATTCGTAAATTCAAAACACAATTCATAAATACAGAAGTAAAAGCATAAATATTTCCCCAAATGCTCACACAAAAGCATCTTACCTAAATAAATGTAAAATGTTTACACAAATATGTATATATCAAGTTCTTGAATTAATTTCCATCACACATTTATGAATGATGTTACATGTATTTATGGATCGTTGAATCTGCATTTGCAAATCATCACACATGCGTAGACAGCTTTGAATTTGTGTGGTATTTTTGAGACCTTCCTGGCAGGTTAAGATTCATAAATATCTTTTTTTGGAGGATGTTCCGTTCAGCCAATCGCGGTGAGCTTTTAATCCACCAATCAAAACACTCTTTACTGAACAGACTCAAGAAGCTCAACGCTGCGCTTGTACTGTGCATTGTTTCTATGATCGGGTCCTTGATGCAAAGACATTTTAATGGGTGCTCTTTTTTTTTTAGCACCTGATTACAGTTTCTACAAAATCACATTATGATTTATATCGTTCGCACAAAATACAGCTACCTGGTTAGCCTGCTGTCTTATACAGCAAAGTTGCACATACCGTTTATTCAGATCAATCTGTAATGTTATCAAATAAGTGTTAAATGTCCAGATATTTCATTTAATAACAACAATTATGTAATGTGTTCTGTTGTTGTTATTAGTAGTAGTAGGCTATCAGATTCGCAATAACTTTTGATCAGGCATTAAAAACAGCTACCACCACCTAAGGGAGATTTCGAACACGCACAGCGGAGAGATTTCAGCATGGAGGATGAAAACCACACTCAACGAGTGAGTAAAGTCATTTTTTTATCTGATGGCATTTTCTTATGATTATTGCTGGTCGCAATGGTAACTTTAGAACCCACTGACTACAAATCGTATTTAAAATTATGCAATAGTTTAGCATCGAAATCGTTGTTTTACTGATTGTTTATCGCCCATTCATCCTGTGATTACTAAAGTGTTCCTACAAACACCAGTTATAATATAAGAAAGCTGGCGTGGACTAACAACTTTGTAACACTGCACACTTAATTAACTAAAACAACCTTTAACCATAAGAAAATGCCATCAGATAAAAAAAACGACTTTACTCACTCGTTCAGTGTGGTTTTCATCCTCCGTGCTGAAATCTCTTCGCTTGTGTGTTCGTAATCTCCCTTCGGTGGTGATAGCTGTTTTTAATGCCTGATCAAAAGTCATTGCGAATCTGATAGCCTACTACTACTAATAACAACAACAGAACACATTAATAATTGTTGTTATTAAATGAAATATCTGGACATTTAACACTTTACAGACTGATCATAACATTACAGATTGATCTGAATAAACAGGGTATGTGCAACTTTGGTGTATAAGACAGCAGGCTAACCAGGTAGCTGTATTTTGTGCGAACGATATAAATCATAATGTGATTTTTATGGAGCCAGATCGGCCTCAAAAATAATACATTTATAAAACAAAATTCATAAATGCACAGAACAATTTACATTTACAAAATGCGATTCGTAAATTCAAAACACAATTCATAAATACAGAAGTAAAAGCATAAATATTTCCCCAAATGCTCACACAAAAGCATCTTACCTAAATAAATGTAAAATGTTTACACAAATATGTATATATCAAGTTCTTGAATTAATTTCCATCACACATTTATGAATGATGTTACATGTATTTATGGATTGTTGAATCTGCATTTGCAAATCATCACACATGCGTAGACAGCTTTGAATTTGTGCGAAATCTCCGAACCCTTCCTGGCAGGTTAAGGTATTTATGAATTGTGTTTTGAATTTACGAATCGGATTTTGTAAATGTAAATTGTGCTGTGCATTTATGAATTTTGTTTTATAAATGTATTATTTTTGAGGCCGATCTGGCTCCATATAATATGACAGCTGAATAAATAAGCTGTCCAATGATGTATGGTTTATTCTTAGCAATGCATATTACTAATCAAAAATGAAGTTTTTATATATTTACAGTAGGAAATTTACTAAATATCTTCATGGAACATGCTCTTTACTTAATATCCTAATGATTTTTGGCATAAAAGAAAAACTAATAATTTTGACCCATACAATGTATTGTTGGCTATTGCTACAAATATACCCCAGCGACTTAAGACTGCTTTTGTGCTCCAGGGTCACAAATAGTAACTGTTTCAGCATTGATAATAATCAAATGAGCATATTAGAATGATTTCTGAAGGATCATTCATGTGACATTGAAGTAATGATGCTGAAAATTCACCTTTGCATCACAGGAATAAATTAAATTTTTAAATATATTCACATAGAAAACAGATTATTTTAAATTGTAACAATATTACCGTTTTTATCGCATTTTTGAACAAATAAATTCAACCTTACCGACCTTGAACTTTTGAATGCTAGTGTAAGTGCTTCAACTCACTCAAGGATGAGTAGATGAAATAAAATTGGGGTGAACTATCCCACCTTTCAGTGAGACATCAAACTAATTCTCTCAGATGTGTAAAGATTTATCACTCACGCAGCTGAAGCACACAAATGCAGTCGGACTGACAGATAACATGTTCTCCACCTCAGTATGTTAGCTGCGGCCTTCCTCTCCTGCGGCAGAAGATCTGGATCTCGCAGCACCTCCTCCAGCAGAGCGATCACAGCCGTCGTCAGCTCTGCGTTCATCTCAAAGTCCTGCACAGACAAACACAAACACAAACACAGTGCTTCAGGGAGCATGTTCCTGTAATCCATGCACTCCATGAACGTAAACATGACCAACCCAACCATTACTGCTGAAGAAAGGACATGAACATCGGTCAATCTTTATTCGTCCTCTGAGCGAGTAAACCCAGATGCATAGATTTGTACAAATCGGACTCAAAAATGGTGTTTGTGTGCATGTAACTGCTGTTCAAAAGTTTGGGGTCATTAAGATTTTTTTTCAATGTTTTTGAAAGAAGTCTCTTCTGCTCACCAAGACTGCATTTATTTGACCAAAAATACAGTAATCTTGTGAAATAGTATAATTTAAAATGACTGTGAATGACTTCTATTTTGTTATATTATAAAATGTATTTTATTGCTATGATCAAAGCTGAATTTTCATCATCATTACTCCAGACTCCAGTGTCACATGATCTTTTAGAAATCATTCTAAAAGATAAGCAGATTTGACTGGATGCGTGTAGCTGTAGTGCAAAGTGATATGCTGCTCTGTTCCTGACATGAGTTAACAGCGCGGGGCCCTCGGGGGTCCGCTGACATTTCAGCGCAGTCACTGCTGCACATGATGAAGGACTGAAGCACAAAGCAGGTCTGACAAAGGTGTGAGACACGTCACAGCAGCTGTTTGAAACTGGTGGGCCACAGGTCTGTCCTGATGGGGTCACATGCTAAATGCAAATCATAAAATGCAGCTAATAAAATATATAATCATGCATAGGTGGAATAGCATGGTAAATCAACAGTTTGAGTTTAAGGACATTTTGTTTACTTCATTACAATAAGAAATTTTGGTACTTATGTCGGGTCACCAATCACTCTCCAGATACAAAACCAGTTGAGATCCACTGAAGACAGAAAGATTTAGAGTAAATGGAGAAATCTATTTACAAATGAGACCCTAAAAAGCTCTGTTGCTCTGAGACCCTATTGCTCAGTTGAGATCCACTGAAGACAGAAAGATTTAGAGTAAATGGAGAAATCTATTTACAAATGAGAAAATGAAAAATAGCAATATTTTTTACTTTTTTAAGGTAAAGTTTTTCAGGCGCTGGTCAATTTTATTTTGCTTCTATGACACGTCTTATGGATGCTTGTTTCCACTGTGGAATAAAAAAATTAGAAAAACTTTTTAGCTCACAATTCTGACATTTTCTCCTCAGAATTGTGAGTTTACATCTTGCAATTTTTTACTTTTTTTCACAGAATTCTGATTTACATCTCACAATTGTTTTTAAAATCTCATAATTCGGACTTTTCTCTCAATTATGTGTTTTTTTTCTCACAATTTTGACTTTTCTTTATATCTTATAATACTTCTAATTCTTGTAAGTCATAATTGTGAGATAAAAATTTACTTTTTAACTTTTTTTTAATTCTGTGGCTGAGACCAGCTTTCATATGTCTTCAGAATAGTGGAAAGAAAACATCCAATATACACATTTAAGTGTTTATTTTATTAAAAGTGTATATTTTACCACTTGCATATACCGTTTTATTCATAACTATGTTCTGAAAGCTTTTACAGAGGAGTTTGTTCATATATCATTTGCCTGATATATATTTTGACATTTTATTTCCAAAAAATATGGTGAAAATGTCTTTTTTTCTGTCTGTTGACAGTACTTTCTGATTTATAGTGAGATAACTATCTTTTTATATAATATTAAATTTTTTAAAATAGAAATCTAAAATCCCCTCGGCTAAAACCTTTAATATGTCAACAAAACAATAATTTTGAACCTGGCTTAATCCAATGTTCAGATTCATGTTTTGGAAATATAAATGAGTGCTTATTTAATTAGATAATGCATCATTTGCAACATTGCAACAACATTTAAGGAAACTTCGAATACAAAACAACTGATGAAAAAGTATGGTGATATCTATTAGTCAAGATTTTTACCCTATTCACCTGTAATGTCTTACATCCTCCTTGCAAGATGTGTCTCCATTATGACTGAGAAATCACTCAAGGGCAGGACATCAGGATCTAAATAACAGGCTGAAAATGATGCAAAGTCAACAAACCTGCGAGTGTTTGGAAACCCAGTGGCGCAGGACATTGAGCACCCTGTTGGTGGCGGCCCTGTGGATGAGGAACTCCTTGTCGTAGGATTTCTCAGGGTTGGTAAATCCTGAATGAGAGACAGTAGGAGATTTCTGTTAGATGAGGACGAGAAAGCCTCCCCAGAGCCATGTCACGACTCCTCAAAGACCCGATAGGAGATGTGTTTCAGCGGCGAAGGCAGCTGTCATCAGTCATCAGTGTCTCTAACCTTGCGGGCTGCTGTGTCCAGCTGCGGCGGTGGCGATGGCGAAGGCGGACGCGTGGGACACGGCACAGCGGGAGCTCTCGGGAGACTGACCTATGAGAACACGAGCAGAGAAAACAAGTCACCATATCATGGGAAATCTGATTTTCTTGTTTTGAAATATGAGTTTAATCCAGCTAACAGGAAACGCTCTCAGAACATTCTGGCAACAAACATTCTTTCAGTAACGTTAATAGAATGTTTGTTCAAAACTTTAGCACAAAAACATTCTTTATACAATACATCCTTCATGGAACGCGTTTCTTCCAAAACGTTTTAGTTGGAAGTTTGTCTAGCGTTTTTTTTTTTTAAATGTTACATTTCGGAATGTTCAGGGAACATTCAAAGTTAATGTTTGCGAAATTATCAAATGGAATGTTCCTTTAACAAGAAAAACTGTACATTTTGAATGTTCCGAGAACTTAAAGGGATAGTTCACCCAAAAATGAAAATTTGATGTTTATCTGCTTACCCCCAGGGCATCCAAGATGTAGGTGACTTTGTTTCTTCAGTAGAACACAAACAGAGATTTTTAACTCAAACCGTTGCAGTCTGTCAGTCTTATAATGGCAGTCAATGGGCTGCAGCTCATGATGATACATTGAGGTCTTAAGACACGAAACGATCAGTCTGTGCAAGAAACTGAGCAGTATTAATATAATTTTTTACCTCTGATCCACTGCAATGTCCAGCTGTCCTGAGCGCGTTCACAACATCCGGCGCGTGACGCGTGTACGTGCCTCTGGCATAGTAGACATAGATATATATAAGTAGATGCCTCATTAGTGACCGTTTCTATGGGCCATGGGAATCTACTTATATATGTCAACTATGCCAGAGCACGTACACGTGTCACACGCCGGATGTTGTGAACGCGCTCAGGACAGTTGGACATTGCAGTGGATCAGAGGTAAAAAATTATATAAATACTGTTCAGTTTCTTGCACAGACTGATCGTTTCATGTCTTAAGACCTCAATGTATCATCACGAGTAATCAATGAAAATATAATACTGAGAAAGGCAGTACCTGCAGGCGCTCGGTAGCGGAGGTGTCGCGGGGTGGACGGTGAACGGCATGGAGACATGTCTCCTGAATCACTGGACGTGGTCGTCTCAGGAATTAACTTATCCAATGATACTGACTCCAGTACAGCTGTCAGGAACATCATACAACATCAGTCATGTATCTATCTATCTTCACTATCGCACCTAGCCATAAAGTCTGCTTTTTCAAACACTTGGGGAAAAAATGGGTCATTCTGAAGAGCACAGAGAATTCAAGCATGGTGCTGTGATAGGATGCCACCTTTGCAAAAGTCATTCCTGCTAGATATTCCACAGTATTATTGGAAAGTGGAAGTGTTTAGGAACAGCAGCAACTCGGAAGACCACCTAAAGTAAAAGAGTGGGTTACAAGTGCTGAGGCTCAATGCAAATGAGAGTTGAAGAGTTCCAAACTTCCACTGAATTAATATCAGCACAAAAACTGCAACGGGAGCTTTGTGGAATGGGTTTCCATGGCCAAGCAGCTGCATGCAAGCCCCACATCACCAAGTGCAATGGCAACTGCTGAATGAAGTGTGTAAAGCACAGCACCACTGGACTCTGGAGCAGTGGAAACCTGTTGAATGAATTAATGAATGAATGAATACGGCAGCCACAGGACAACGGCGCCAGTGCGCTCACCACACATCAGCTACAGGTGGAGAGGAGAGAGAGTCATAGAGCCAATCAAGTGGTTGGGGATTATTAGGAGGCCATGATTGACAAAGGCCAGGGGGGCAATTTGGCCAGGACACCGGGGTTACACCCCTACTCTTTATGAGAAGTGCCATGGGATTTTTAATGACCACAGAGAGTCAGGACCTCGGTTTAACGTCTCATCCGAAAGACGGTACTTTTTGACAGCATAGTGTCCCCGTCACTATACTGGGGCGTTAGGACCCAAACAGACCACAGGGTGAGCACCCCCTGCTGGCCTCACTAACACCTCTTCCAACAGCAACCTAGTTTTCCCAGGAGGTCTCCCATCCAGGTACTGACCAGGCTCAACCCTGCTTAGCTTCAGTGGGTAACCAGTCTTGGGCTGCAGGGTGATATGGCTGTCTGTGTTCTGTGGGGTGATGAATCGTGCTTCTCTGTTTGAGAGTCTGATGGGTGAGTCTGGGTTTGACGAATGCCAGGAGAACATTACCTGCCTGAATGCACAGTGCCAACTGTAAAGTTTAGGGGAGGAGGGATAATGGTAAGGGGTTGGCCTTGGCCCTTTACTTCAAAATGTCAATGCTTCAGCATATTTTGGACAATGATATGCTTCCAACTTTGAATGCCCTTTCTTATTCCAGCATGACTGTGCCCCAGTGCACAAAGCATGGTCCATAAAGGAATGGTTTGATGAGTTTGGTGTGGAAGAACTTGACTGACCCATACAGAGCCCTAACCTCAACCCCAATGATCACCTTTGGGATGAACTGGAATGGAGATTGTGAGCCAGGCCTTCTTGTCCAACATCATTGCCTGACCTCACAAATGCTTTTGTGACATGGCCAAGTATGGTAACTTGTACACAAAATGTGTGCTCTTTTCACCCATCCAAGTGCACACACAGCAGCAAGTAGAAAACACACACACACCACTGACACACACCCAGAGCACCTCAGTCGTGGGTATTGAGGGTGGAAGAGAGTGCTGTTCATTCATTCCTCACACCTATATTTCCTCTCAGTAATGAGAATCAAACCTGCAACCTTTGGGGTACAAGCCAGACTCTCTAACCATTAGGCCACAACTGCCCCAATAGTGGGATTTAAACACAGGTCTCCAAGATTAAAACACAATGCTTTATTTACTGAGCTACTGAGTCCATGGATGAATGGGCAAAAAATCCCACAGAAACACTCCAAAATGTTATGGAAAGCCTTCCCAGAAGAGTGAAAGCAGTTACAACTGAAAAAAGGGGACCAACTCCATGTTCATATGTATGTATTTAGAATGCAATGTCATTAAATCCCTGTGGGTGTAATGGTCAGGTGTCCCAATGCTTTTGTGCACATAATGCATCTATCTAACTTTCTGTCTATCAATCCATATATCTTATTTTCTATCCAGTATGAAGTGAATTTGCCTTCTAAAGGTTAGAGGACCCAGAACGACTCTCACCTCGTCGAATACTCCGTCGCAGCTTCCCACAGAAGGCATCTATACGCGGCAGCTCCCCGCTCTCCTCTGGGGTGGAGGGGCTGAGCTCGGGGGAGCTGGGGCCCCGGCTGAGGTCCAGAGGGGCCCTGGTGCAGGTGGGTGGAGGGGAGGTGATGCCGGGGGTGTAAGGAGACGTCGAGCTGCTGGCCGCAGAAGAAGTGGCCGTCGACAGGTCCAGAGCTCCACCCTTACAGCTCACAGGAGAGCTGAGGGACAGCTTCCGCGGGTGGATGGGGGAAGAGGTGCACGAGGGGATGGAGACGGGCGGAGGAGAGGAGCACTTGCGATACAGACGGGGGGATTTGTTGTTCAGGTGCTCTCCGCTCCAGGGGCCTTGGTTTGTGGCAAAGAAACGCTCGAGGGACCTGAGCCATCAGCATAAGATGGAAACAAGTGAATAAATGCACCACACAGCCAGATCTGCCCTTACAGAACTATCTATCTATCTATCTATCTATCTATCTATCTATCTATCTATCTATCTATCTATCGTTCTATCCATCGTTTTGTCTGTCTGTCTATCCATCCATCTATCGTTCTGTCTGTCTGTCTGTCTGTCTGTCTATCATTCTATCTATCGTTCTATCCATCTGTCTGTCTATGCAATCCATCCATCCATCCATCTATCTATCGTTCTATCTGTCTGTCTGTCTATCTATCTATCTATCTATCTATCGTTCTAT